CAAAGAATCGTCGATGGTCACTTTTTCTGCCATTGTCACTTAATGGTGCAGGAGCACTTAAACACACCACTTCACTTTAGCACTTAACACACCGAGCACTGTACTACGCCAATATTGCACTTTATCGCACCTAGCACCGGCACTTTGCCAATATTACACGTAATCACACCGGGCACCGCACTCTACAATATTGCACTAAATATCAGCGAGCACCGCATAGGACGTACAACATCCAAATAATTATAAACAGGGGGAATTATTTACAGGGGATTGCGCTACATCACCACCCCTGTCAAACATACTTGACAAGGGGTCGGATCCCGCTGGGGATGCCAATTAATGTTACGGCCCTACTGGGGCGCAACCGGGTTCTTCTCTGATTGTATTAGAGTTTGGGTATCCGGCCCCAAGTTAGTAAGAGGCTTTCAAGGGGTGTGTTCCGTAACGCAAGTTAAATTAAAGGGGGAGGGATACAAATGTTCCAATTTATATATATATATATATTCACCACCACCATAAATAAATATATAACAGTTGCACACGGGGGTTATTACTACACGATTATGTACAAGCTTGTCTTCCTCTGAAGACACAGGATGCTCCACGGTGCTCACGCTGGATAGCCCTGGTTCCTTCTTCCGTGCGCCCACGATGAATCCTCTATGATTCTCTTGGGCGAATCTATACCCTGGCCATAGGCCAGCCAAATCACAGTCCCACTGGGTGTTTCGTCGTGGAGGCCTTCAACCACAATCCAGCCCGTAGCTGGCAGGTACCGGGCGGTCGGTCCGAGCGGACAGCACGCTGGACTTATGATCCTGTGGTCCTGGGTTCGATCCCAGGCGCCGGCGAGAAACAATGGGCAGAGTTTCTTTCACCCAATGTCCCTGTTTCCTAGCAGTAAAATAGGTACCTGGTGTTAGTCAGCTGTTACCGGCTGCTTCCTGGGGGTGGAGGCCTGGTAGAGGATCGGGCCGCGGGGACACTAAAAAGCCCCGAAATCATCTCAAGATAACCTCAAGATCTCAAGAGATACCGATCAGCTCCGCTGTGTAGGTCACTCCACGACCGATACTAGGGTTGCGAGCCCTAGGCAGGAGCCTCGTGTGATCCGCTGATCACTCTCCTCATTAAGCACCACAGTGGCTAGTCTCTTCCACCAGCCAGCCCCGGATAAGGTGATTCCCGACACTGCCACGTCACTGGCAGGCTAATACTCTCAAACAGAGTTCGTCCGGGGGTGACTCACAGCTTCTTCAGCAGACTTGTGAAGAGACCTTGGCTGCCTTGGGTAGACTGATCCATCGTCCAATACAGTAGTCCCAGGTCGACTCTGCAATCAGACACGTCATTAGTACTGGGGACGCTCTAGGGAACCTCACTTACAGGCTTAGACACAAACGTCCACCTATTTGCTCCATAGATGGCGTTGCTGTCTAAGCGCCACCTCACCAGAGGTCAGCAGCGGCTATGTTACGAGCTGATTAAGACGGGAATCCAGCACCTGTTGCCGATATATCCCGTCCTCACTAGATGGCGTCGTCCATTTGGAGGGGGTTTCGGGAGCGGACTCACAGATGGCGTTGTCGTCACTGCCCCATGCTCCGACGATGGACTCGGGTCCGTAACAGGAGACATGATCACCACATTCAAGATTCTCAAGGGAATCGACAGGGTTGATAAAGACAGGCTATTCAACACAAGGGGCACACGCACTAGGGGACACAGGTGGAAACTGAGTACCAAATGAGCCACAGAGATATTTGAAAGAACTTTTTCAGGTTCAGAGTGGTTGAGAAATGGAATGCATTAGGAAGAGATGTGGCGGAGGCTGACTCCATACACAGTTTCAAGTGTAGATATGATAGAGCTCAATAGGCTCAGGAACCTGTACACCTGTTGATTGACGGTTGAGAGGCGGGACCAAAGAGCCAGAGCTCAACCCCCACAAGCACAACTAGGTGAGTACAACTAGGTGAGTACACACACACACCAAACACACGCACACACCAAACACACACACACACCAAACACACACACACACAAAACACACACCACACACACACACACACACACCACACACACACACACACACACACCACACACCACACACACACACACACACACACCAAACCACACCCACACACCAAACACACACACACACATATTCCAAACAAACACAAACACACACACACACACACATACAACAAACATACAAACACAACCAGTATGCTGCAAACAAACACAGACAATCACTGAAACAAACAAAACAAACATACACAACACATACAAACATACCAAACACACACACAAACATAAAAAACACACACACACAAACATACCAAACACATATAAACACAGACAAACACACATACCGAACACGCAATTATGGCAAACAAACAAAAACATTCCAAACACATACACAAACACACCAAACACATATAAACACAGACAAACACACATACCAAAAACTCAAATATGGCAACCAAACAAAAACATTCCAAACACTCACACATATATTAAACACACATCACACACATAAACACCCCAAACACACTCAAACACATCAAATACAAACACTTTAGTAATGCTTATACTTATCAGTACTTTCCACACACACACTCACACACAAGAGCCAGAGCTCAACCCCTGCAAGCACAACTAGGTAAGTACACACGCACGCACTTTATAAGTATTATATACGTTTAAATTTAAACGATGACCTTATATAAAAAGTTACAGTGTCACCTTTATGATACCAAACGAAAACGCCAGAAAACGTTTTGTGTTTACTGGGCAGTGACAAAGACAAACCTCACCAACAAAATACTCCATATCCCTGAAAGCCCTTCTATCCAATGTAAGGACACTTCAGTGCATAGAACATGCATTTTGGTCATAGCTATACATGTATATCGATGCAGACCGCCTTGCTATAAATGGACTACTGACAACTCTAATCTTAATGGATCGGTGTTCACTACCGCCAAAATTAGGCTGCAATCGTAGCCTATTAGATTGAATGTCCTACTTTTTCAATCAAACATCGAAGATCCACCCAGCTTCCAATTATCGTATTCATGGATGGGAGCCCTGAGACATTGCATTGGAAGTCTTTATCGTTGGCAAAGTCCCCCTTTTAGAGTACTTAGCAAGTTTACCATTATTTCCACTGGTCCAGTAACTAATTTGCTGAATTATTTTTATTTTTGTTATTTTAATTGCAATAGTATTTTTTGGCAATATGATATTAGTTTTACCTCGCTTTCTCATTAAGTGCCTCTTGCAGGAGACGATGTCAGCTGTGAGGACAGCAATAGAAGACAACACGACCAACAGGAAACGTCCGCGACACTGCCGAGACCTTCTGACCGCCGGCGACAACGGGGCCGGCATTCGGCAGGTGTACCCGTTCCTCAAACACCCGTATGTCTCCGTCACCGTTTACTGTGACCAAACTGTCGATGGCGGCGGCTGGACCGTATTTCAGAGACGCCGCAACCTTACTGAACGGGAAGATTTTTACCGTACATGGGTCGAGTATCAGCTTGGATTTGGTCATCTAGAGGGCGAGTTCTGGCTGGGTCTCGACCTTCTCCACGAGCTCACTTCTGTCACTCTTCAGGAAATGAGGATTGACCTCAAGGATTATGAGGGAGAACAACGATGGGCAAAGTACGGACGCTTCAATATAGGGTCTCCTGACACAAATTATCGCATCAGCGTCGGAAGGTAAGATTACCATAAATTTTCATTTAACTCTGATAAAATATAGTTTTTTTCCATAAGACATCTTTTAAAATAAGCAGTCACTTGCTCTCGAGTCAAGTTTAATCATATTCATTCTACTATAATGGTGTATGATAGAAAAATATTAAGCCCTAAATGTAAAATGTAACGAGGATTATTTCGACAAAGACGCATCAGTTTTTGTCAGTGTATTATACTAGTGCTGAGACGGCGTGCTATATAAGGAGAAATGATTAACGTGTTGCCATGACCAGGTACACGGGCGACGCAGGAGATGGGCTGGAAGGCGGCATGCACGATGGGTACCCCTTCTCCACCCACGATGCTGACCACGAAAGTAATAGTTTAAACTGTGCTAGCAAGTATGTATCCTCAGATTCACTTGACTACATGTGAAACATTCAAACTCAACTAGTCCGCTCATTTCTTTTACACTCTTCAAAGACATTCTTTTACAGCTTAGATCTTCAAAGACATTTTATAGTCCCTGCACGAGCAAGCTTAGGATCACAAATCGTATGCCCAAGATGGTAAGCTTGGGCATAGATATTTCATGGAATCACCTCACTTTGTGGGACCACGTGAGCAACACAAATGCGAACAAGCTTGAATGGTCCCCCAAGCCAAAATGAAAGTAAAAACTCCACACCCCAGAAGGATTCGAACCCAGACAGCCAGTAGCAATATTCACCATGGCATATCTGGTTCCTTAACCACTCGACCAACGTGACTGAACAAGTAAGGAGATTCGATGAAATATATATGCCCCAGCTTACCACCAAGTGCTGCCGGGTCGTTGGGGATATAGCCTCGGCTACCAATGACTTTCGTACAGTCACGGTGGTCAAGTGGTTAAGGAACCAGGTACGCCATGGTGCATATTGCTCCTGGCTGTCTGGGTTCGAATCCTTCTAGTAGTCAAAGCCTTCTAGTAGTACTACTACATCTAGTAGTAGGGATAACAGTCTAAAGAGGATTTTTTCTTAAATTCCGTTTAGACTGTCAGGTTTCCTAAACAATTTTGCTACTCCCATTTAAGCTGTCCGGTTTCCTTATAATTTTGAAAAATCCCGTTTAGCACTTCGGGTTTCCTTATTAATTTCCGATTTTGACTTAAGGAATTCTTACGAGAAAAATAATTTCAGAGATCAGAGAAGTTTGTTAAAGTTTTCTTATGGGAAAAATTCGAGGCTAAAAAGGCCGATCTGGAGTTAAAGATTTCTTACGATTAAAATTCGAGGCTAAAAGCGTTTGAAAAGCTAATCTACAAACAGCTTTACTCTTATCTAGACAAGCACAATATACTTAGCTCTTATCAATATGGTTTCAGACGCAATAAAAGCACTAACCATGCACTTATTAGAATGATTAACTTGATACATTTAGCTCTTGATAAATATGAGTTCCCTGTTGGATTATTTGTGGAATTACATAAGGCTTTTGACACTGTCAACCACCAAAACCTTCTTCTTAAATTACATCTTAAATTAAATTAAAATTACATATAACTTCTTAAATTAAATTAACATTTTTATCAAGAGCTGCATGTATCAAGTTAATCATAGTAATAAGTGCATCGTTAGTGCCTTTTTTTGGGTCTGAAGCCATATTGGCAAAAGCTAAGTATATTGTGTTTGGCTAGATAAGAGTAGAGTTGCTTGTAGATTACATTTTCAAATATTTTTGACAAGTTTGGCAGAATTGATATAGGTCTGAATTTGTTGACATCAGTGAGATCACCACATTTAGGGATTGGGGTTACTCTCGATTTTTTTTTTAGAATATCTAGAAAGATTTGGAGTTCAGGTGACTTATTGTAGAGCAATGCAATGGCAGGAGATAAAAATCTGGAGGTTTTTTTGTAAATTAGAGTTGGTATCTCCGGAAGGGCACTAGACTTAGTTTTAAGGGAAAGGATTATCTCATTAACATCAGTGGAATTAACAGGCGTTAGATACAGAGACTGTGGATAGTTACCTGTAAGGTAGTCTTGAACATTAGTACGAAAGGATTGAATATCATTAACAAGAGATGACCCAATGGATGAGAAGAATCTCTTGAATTCAATAGCAGTATCTGAGGCTGAAAGCAAACCATCATTATTGGACAGGAGTATTGGTTTTTTATTTAAAATCTTTTTTGATATCCATATATATGTGAAATAGTGTTCCGTGTTTTCTTAATGCTACCCTTTATTTTGGGTAAATTTATTTTCGTAGTATTTAATTTTAGCTCTCCTAATTATTTAGATAGCACTGATGAGTAATTCTTTGAAAATTCTTTGGAGATAATTCCTAACCTATACTTCTTCTCAAGGTCATGTTTTTTTATGAATAGATTTAAGTATCTCCTTTGTTAACCATGGATTATTTAGCCTATGGGCTAAATAGGCCTTCCTATTTATGGTATGGGCCTATACTATTTATTGATAAGGACCAATAGGCCTTCTGCAGTTCTTATGCGGCTCGTATTTATATCCACCTAATTCCCATTCATTTTTCATTTTACCTCACTTCACTTCACCTCTCTCTCTCTTGCCTATATATATGTCCAATACTTGACATGTAAATCATTCCTTCTGAAGATGTATTAGTATACGAAAGTACTTAAGGAAATTCCTGTTTAAATTTTTCCTCCGTGGTCTGACACTATTACATTTTTCATAACGTATTAATTTTCGTGATTTACACACATATATACATATATATGCATTGATATGTATATATATATACATATCTAGAGAGAGAGTCAGTACTCCGATTTACACATGAAAATAGTGAAAATAACAGTCTATCATATCAACATAGGGTTATGCCTGAGCGGTAGCAGTGAGTGCCACCAAAGATATACAACTAGTGTTCTCAATGCTTATATTCGTCGAGCGCTTACCCACTGCTACGAATGATTCAACGTGAGAAGAGAGTTTAAATGAATAACTCAGGTACTGGTGAACAACGGATATAGCAACACGGAAATAAACACTGCTATAAGGAGACACCTGGACCGATGCTACAATCCTGAAACTAGAACAGAAACCGCAACACCTCCAATAAAATTATATCCTCTACAAATCATTCTATGCACAGTGAACAGAAAAAATATATCAAAATAATGAAAGAAATAATCCGTAAAGGAGTCAAGGAGGGAAAAGCACTACTCCTAATCAGAACATAGACCTGATCATATTCTATAAAACAAAGAAGACTACCGACCTCCTTATCAAAAAACAGTCCAAATCCGATGGAGAACCCTTTACAGCAGTCAAGCGTATACATGTACACTTGCTCCCACGAAGGATGTAACCTTCAATCTAAGTACATAGGTATGACGTTGACCAAGCGGACGAGGCGTTTGACCTGTCATCTTCAATCCGGTGCCGCTAGAAATCACACGAGACATGCCCATGACACAACCTTAACAAGAGAAATGCTGAATAAAAACACTTGTATGATAAACAAAACCCAAGATGTAAGAAGATTACAAATTCTTGAAGCAATCCACAAAAATAGAACAACCTACTGTGAATACCCCAAATTTCGGAACTATTTACTCTACCCACAATGCGAGTAAGAACAAGACCGGAACATAACGATGCTAGCATAGAAGACACTGCTCAACATAATAGGTCTATTACATCCGATTAATCATTCTATGTGCTTCGTCTCCTATTTACCCCTTGCTTTTCCTTTATTCTAGTTGGTTTTTCACCTGACCCAGTAATGGTATAAATCTAACGCAATTTGTATTTTCTTATCACTGGAGGAATTGAACCATGTAGGTTCGAGTCGTTGTGCAATTTTATAATAAGTGTAATACATTCCACAGTTATTCACTTCTTTTTCTTCACCTTGAAAATACACACACACACACACACACACACACACACACACACACACACACACACACACACACACACACACACACACACACACACACACACACACACACACACACACACGCGCGACTTTTGTTAGGCCAAAGCTAGAATATGCAGCAGTTGTGTGGTGCCCATATCTTAAGAAGCACATCAACAAACTGGAAAAGGTGCAAAGACATGCTACTAAGTGGCTCCGAGAACTGAAGGGCAAGAGCTACGAGGAGAGGTTAGAGGCATTAAATATGCCAAAACTAGACGACAGAAGAAAAAGAAGTGATATGATCACTACAAACAAAATAGTAACAGGAATTGATAAAATCGATAGGGAAGATTTCCTGAGACCTGGAACTTTAAGAACAAGAGGTCATAGATATAAACTAGCTAAACACAGATGCCGAAGAAATATAAGAAAATTCTCTTTCGCAAACAGAGTGGTAGACGGTTGGAACAAGTTAGGGGAGAAGGTGGTGGAGGCCAAGACCGTCAGTAGTTTCAAAGCGTTATATGACAAAGAGTGCTGGGAAGACGGGACACCACGAGCGTAGCTCTCATCCTGTAACTACACTTAGGTAATTACACTTAGGTAATTACACACACACACACACACACACACACACACACACACACACACACACACACACACACACACACACACACACACACACACACACTCTCTATTGAACTTATTGAACTCGAGAAGGGATACCGAAACCAAAAGGTTAGCATACCGAAAGGGAAACTATGAGGGGAAAAGAAAATTCCTAACAGATATAGCATGGGAAACAGAGCTCAGGTGAAAGACGGCCCAAGATATGATGGATTACATCACGCAGAAGTGCAAGGACGCAGCAAACAAGTTTGTCCCAGTCCAAAAGGAAAACAGAGAAATGACAATGAGAAACCCATGGTTTAATCAGAGATGTAGGCTAGCTAAGCAGCAAAGTAAAAGGGCATGGAGAAATTATAAGAATAACAGGACACTGGAGAGCAGAGAAAGATACCAGAATGCCAGGAATGAATATGTCAGGATGAGAAGAGAGGCAGAAAGACAATACGAAAATGACATCGCAAGCAAGGCAAAGACTCAGCCTAAATTGTTGCATAGCCACATCAGGAGAAAAACAACAGTAAAGGAACAGGTTATGAAATTAAGGTTAGGGGCGGAAGGATTCACTACAAATGACAAGGAAGTTTGTGAGGAGTTGAATAAGAAATTCCAGGAGGTCTTCACCTTAGAGCAAGGAGAAATCCCAGAGATAAGAGAGGGAATAGCTAACCAGGAACCACTGGAAGACTTTGAGATTACCAGCGGGGAAGTAAGGAAGTGTTTACTAGAGTTGGATGTGACAAAGGCTATAGGCCCAGATGGAATCTCCCCTTGGGTTCTAAAGGAAGGAGCAAGAGAACTGTGCCTACCACTCTCCATAGTGTATAACAAATCACTGGCAACAGGGGAACTGCCAGATATTTGGAAAGCAGCTAACGTAGTCCCGATATACAAGAAAGGGGATAGACAGGA